CCCCAAAACCCCAAAACCCCAAAACCCCAAAACCCCGTCACATTACTGTTAAAGTATTATTGAGTTAATGCAATTTAATTAATACGCAAATTTTATTAACATTTTTTGGAATATTCCATCAAGTAAATTTAAGTTTATAGCAACACATTGCGATATATTATTCTTCAATAATTTTATAATATATTTAATAATATTTGCAAAATTTAAATGCAGTCAAAATCTATACTAAGTCTCATTTCATTCCTTTTCATTTTAATTTATGGAATCAATGCAGCTTGTACTAAAAATTTGATATATTAAATATTTTAGGCTAGAATGGTGAGATATTTCTAGAAAATAAATGTTAAAGTAAGATTTTTTGTCTTGATTTTGATAGAATGCGACGAAATAATTTACGGATGCAATGATTGCTACTCAGAAATCATAAATTAATTTCAGTTTGTAAAATGCTAGAGCTGTAATGATGGATTATATCTTCTAGAACGACTTAGCTATTCAACATATATACCTAAGTACTTTACATCTTGTGTTCCTGATTGCAAGTGAGCACATAATTCATTCATTAACAATGATAATACAAGAACTTGCATTTGTAATTAATGATTTTTAATTATTAAGGGTGTGGAACACATTGCAGATCTTGCAATATTAAATATGGCTGTGATTCAAGTCCTCAACTTGAAACTGGAGCTGCCTTTGTGAATGCTTATTTAACTACTACATCTCTTCGAAACTACCCTGAGTTTAAATAAACGACAAGTATTATCTTTTACACTGTTTACTTATCAAATAGAATGCACAATGGATAATTTTTGCACTACTTGTAATCCAAGAAATGTTGATAAATGCACAGTATGCAGTAGTTTTTTGTAGGAATTAGCACCATTTTACGGAGAAATTTATAGATGTGGTAATTAATTTTTTTTTACTATATTTTTAAGTTTATTTTCCTTACCCTGGAACAAACTATATTGAAGGTTGCAGATCTTATTCAATTGATTCACTTAATTGTTGGGTCTGTAGTGATAACTATTTTCAATATAGAGTATCAAACTAAAGTCCATATACTTGCTGAAGAAGTAAATTAAATCGAACTATCATCTATGATATTTTATTATTTAGTGAATATTGGTAATGCGAATTGTTTATAACCTACAAATGAAAAAAAGTGCTAAATGTGCACTTAAGGTTTTGGGAGCACTCTCTATCCTGGTACAGACTGGGAATATTGCATTCGTAACAAATATGATTTATAATAAAGATTATAGCTTGTATCCCATACACAGTATTAGATCCAATATTCGGAAAGTACACCTTTGATGTCTCATAATGTGCAATAGATTCTGCAGGAATTGTCAAGTCTATATCTGGTTGTAATGATGGATATATCCACTCTAGTAATCTTAAAACATGCACTTACTCTTGTGGAATTGGAAATGCACCTAATTTAGTATACAGCGCAAGAGGAACTGCGGTAAAATCAGAATGCCAATAATGTGATATAACTTGCTTCGAATGTTCTAATAAAGGTTCTAATAATTGCACATCTTGCTAGAAAGGAAAATATTTAAATCTAACAGATAGTAAATAATAAGTAGGCTAATGCATTTCAAAAAATTCAGATTCTTTAACAGCAGAAATATTTGTAGGATCACCAGGAATATAAAATAACAGACCAAGCGATGAAATTGATGGAACTATAAACAACTACTTTAATTCTATTCAAGATGCAATAAAAAAGGCATATGAACTCGGAGCTCCTTATTCCTCAGCAGAAATCACAATTAGTCTATTATTCGGAGTTCATGCAATGGTTAGATACAATCCAGAGGATTTGTACATGCCTAAAATGCTGGACTAATACTCAAGAACAACAAAAATAATTCTTTAACCTGCAGATGATGATCTGCAACTTACAATCTATTACAAATTAAGAGATTCTTTTCATTTTCTAGTGGGTGCTGGTTTAACAATCAGAAATTTGATATTTGAAGCAATAGATTCAATATTAGATTTAGAATTAGATTACAGCTCTAACTCAAAGTGTGCATAAAATTAGTTTATAAATTGTTGCTTTTTTGATGATAATGGAAATTTAGCTGGATAGCCTGCGTGTAGGTTCACAAAAAGGCCGTAAATACTTATGATTAATAAAATTTAGAACTGAAAAGTGTTATGCAGCTGAAGGTACAACTTTCATTGATTTTGATATGTATTCTCAAAATATGCTGGCAATACCACCAAATCTGACCTTAGAGGTAATTTAATTAAATAAATATTCTAGAACGTTGTCTTTAGGAATTTCCTGTATGAGTTCAATAGCTTCATTTAAATAAATAAATACCAAGGAGGATATATCGTAATAAAAAATGTAGTATTTGACAACTTTAACACATGTGGAGCTATAATAAGAAACAAGCTTATTTATAGGGAAACAACAGGAATTAACTATGCAAACTATCTTACTTTCTATCAAAGTTTTTTAAATGACCAACATTCTGCTAAAATGAAGGAGAAGATAGATCTATCTAATTACAATCCATACAATTGTAGCAATAGCTAAACTTAATCAAATAATCCGTGCTTTTCACTATTAGTTGCGAATTCTACATTCAAAAATTTCGGGTCAATGAAAGATAAAATGAGTTATGGTAACTAAGTTGATCCAGATTATTTACTTTAATACTAAGGTTTAATATTTGATTTGGAAGAATATAATGGGCACATCTAAATAATAAATAATACTTTTGAAAATAATGTAATAAAGTATGAATCATGCTTGGTAGGGTAGTATATAAAAAATAAAAAGGGAATCTATGACTATGAGGATGATATTTTTCCTAGTTATGGCATAAAAACTGCTTTATAAATAAAATCTTGGATTAGCATTGTGAAGCATGGTGACTGGAATATTGATATAGTTGATAATGAATTTCTAAGAAATACTGCAGTAATGGGTATAATTGTTCTTCAATTAAATCAAAAAGCGATTAGCAGAGTTTTCCTATTAAAAAATAATTTTACTTAAAATGGTGGATATTATGATACCTCAGTCATAAGAGTTACTTTCATAGCTAATTCCTACACAAATGTCCTGAGAACGATTTAATCTCCCAATATCTATTTTTGTTCAGGACTTCATTTTGAATAGAACTTTTTCGGGAAAAACTATGGCTGTTCTCAAACTTGTGGAGGGATAATTAGAATTTATTGCGCTAACTAAAATTCATCAATTTCATAAGTGAATTTGGATCTCCCTTATGAGGATCTTCCCGCAGATGTTGCCTTAAAATACCATAGTACTAATATAGTTGGCAAATCAACTGTCAAAACATCGTATATTTACTAAAGCATTTATTATCCCATAGTATGCAACTATATTTGGTTTCGATCTAATAATTATACCTAAAATTTTGCATCTAACAACATATCTCTTATAATGATTCTTGGTGTAAGATCTTTTTTTCTTTATGAAAATTTTACTGGTAATGGTGAATCTAGTTTTGAAACGACAAAGTTACTAGGAGAAAATGGTAAATATATTGAGGCATCATTAAGTTCTGAACTTACTGCGCTATAGTTATCATAAATAGATACATATAATTAATCATCATCTCTTATTGAAGTCACTAGACATTACGAAATTAATATGTAACTTTGCTACTTTGATTCAAATTGGCAATATGAATCAATAGCTTCTGGTACAAAAGGATAATTGCTGACATTATCTTTTTTCTCAGGTATTGCTACTATTGACTAAATTACAGTAAAAAACCATATAGGATTGAAGGATATTCCTTATGGACCAGAGGCACTTGGATTTAATATAACTTAAAACAGATCAAGGAAGGGAGCAATAAGTCCATTTATTAAACTTTAATGGCATACAAGAATTTTACTTAGATATTAATATGCATTCATCTATTACATAAAGCTAGAAAATATAAAATGGGAGTAACATCTTGATTTGTCAGATCATTAAATGCTTTTGAATATGAGAGATCCTAACTTAAATCTAGATTATGATGAATATTCAGCGTTTTACCAATAAGCACATAATTTTGTAGGTGGATCTTTTAAAGATGTCGACTGCTATTATTGCACTAATCCTATATTGACGATATCTCATTTAGAAATGTCAATAAAAAGCACTACATTCTAAAACATAAATGTTAGAGCTCATAATGATTAAATATATTCAACAGCTCCTTTTATAAGATTTATACTAAGAAGAAGTTATTATATATAAAATTCGTTGAATTTCATTCAAGAAAATGTTACAATATCTTCAATTAAGGTTGATTCATATATGGGAGGTACTAATAATCCATTAATTGAAGTTTAGAGTATGGAAGTTTCTCCTGATAAAATTAAATCTGAAGAAATAAATCAAGTATTTGCTGATACCTCTAGCTTTCAAAATTGTTATACTTCTGATTCTCCTATTATTTAGATTAATGTTTAGGAATAGTTTGTTTTGCTAAGGACAAATACATTTATAAATAATACAGTAGGATATCATTAATAAGATGGTTCATCTAATGGTTTTTTTACAATAACTAACGCTAAAAGTGTCTTGTTGTTTCGAATGAATGCTAATGGTATTTATAATCCAGTTAATTCAATGACAGATGAAGGGTGTGGGCGATTTTTATGTTTAAAGAATTCAAATTCTAAATCCATTGTTTATGTAAATGAATCAACATTCATTGGGAATAATTCAAACTTATATTTGAGTTCATAAAATTACTACAAAGATTAAATTTAATAGAACAGATATGATTAGACTTCTTTAATAGCTATAAGCGCTGATTCTTTTGATATAGACTTGATTGTTTATAAAAGTTCATTTTAAAAATTTGGAATTTCTAATTAAGGAAGTATTTTTAAATTATAATCAACTGGGAAAAAGACTTAAGTATTCTTATAAAATACATTTAAATACAATTACGCTCTTAAAGGTGGTAGCATATATTGTCTTGAATGTTATTTGACTATTTTTAATAATACTTTTTATGCTAATATGGCTTAAGAGGGTGGAGACATTTACATTAAAAATAGTCCCAATCCTAACATTACTTTTGACAGTTTCTCTTCAAATTATAGTTAAGCAATATAGAGAGGTGGATCAATAATGCTAATTGATGAAGATCCCGAAAAATAAAATTATGTCATGTTTAATGAGAGCAAAAATATGTACTCATAGTTTTTAAATATTTAATCTGATAACGGGATAGTATTCATACAAATGGAGGGATTTCTTGATTTTTCCTTAGTAAATACAAGTATAGTTTAAACAAATAGTGTTTCAATAGGATGCATCTTTTGTATTTTATCCTAGAAAACTGCAAATATTTAAATTTTAAACAGTACTTATGAAACAAATCAAGCAGATTAAGTAGATGGGTCATTTTTATATTTTGGATAAAGCCTTTAAGGTTTAGAATTAACAATAATAAATTCTCAATTTTATAATTTAGAATAAAACTTCTCTGGGGCTCTGGTAAACTACCAATCTTAATTGAAACTTTAAATTTCATTAGAGGATATTAAAGTGATTAATTACAATACTTCAACAAAAGGAATAATTTATTCGAAAGGAAACTAAACAAATATTGAGATAAGAAATTCTATTTTCGATAATATTACAGCTTAAAATAATGGAGGGTTTATATATATGAATGAAGATACTTCTTAAAACAACATTACTATATCGAATTCAAAGTTCTAAAATGTTTATACTTCTGGAATAGGAGGATTAATATTTAATAAAGGACTCTCCTTATAATTGGCTTTGATCAATAAAACAATAATCTAAAATTTGTCAAGTTAGGAAGGTGGACTTTTATACTCAGAAGGAGCAACAACAGATATATTAATTTCTCAATCTTATATTAATCAAACTACATCAGCCTCTGGAGGTTTATTTAAAATAGTGGATTCTCTTAATTAAACTCTAAATATTCTGTCTTAAGTGTAAATTGACAATATATTTTCTTCAACCTAAGGTGGGCTTTACCATGCTTCAAGTAAATAGGTTAATATATTGATTAGTGATTCTAATTTCAATAACATCACATCTCAGTTAGATGGTGGATTTATTTATGCAACAGATACTGAGATTTTTAATTTAGATATAAATAATAGTAGCTTTAATGTAATAAACTCTTAGGACGAAGGGTCTTTTCTATATATTGATGATTAATTAACAACAAAGATCAACTTAGATGTAAGGTATTCAAATTTCAAATGTAGAGACATAGATTTATATGATGATTTTCCCACTTATTATAATTAGATAATTGCAGAAATGAATGACTCATTAAATCAAATAGGAGGATTATTTTATTTTTTGGAGCAGACTCAAGGGCTGATAAAGTCTTAGTATAATGATTTTTCTCTGTGCTACAATACAAAAAGCGGCTCAATATTTAAAATATAGCCATAGATCTAATTTTAAGACGATTCATCAATCTACACTTAAAATGGTGGGGAGACTGGTCCAATCAGTATAAATGGAGGAGGTCTACCCTATAATTTAGCAAATTTAACTTTCAAAGACTAAATCTCTAAAATCGGCTCTATAATATATCTTAATAATTCAGCAACGATAAATATCTACCAGTCATCCATTTTTAACTCTAAATCTCTAAATGATGGAGGAATTTTCTATGTTGAGGGTAATGGCTAAGCTATACTAAATCTAATAGATTGCAAAGATTCGATATAGTATGTAGAATCTTTAATTGACGGAGGAATTATTTGGACTAGTAATCCAAGTCTAAGACTATCAATTTAGAATTGCAACTTCAGAGATATATATTCATAAGGTAATGGTGGTTTTTACTTCAAGCAGAAAGCTGATAAAATTTTGCTTTAAAATATCACTTTTAATAATCTAACAGCTGCCCAGCAAGGTTCATTAATCTATTCATTGGAGTAAGGTTTTAAATTTGATATTTCTGGTATTAGAATTAATTGTTCCGAAGACTATTCTGAAAGTTAGGCATATTAAGATATTTTAGCTAATTAAACATAATCAGGTAGCTTAATCTATATTAAAAATGCAGAACTTGTTAAAATTCAAGGGTTTTAAGTGTAGAACTGTTAAAGAGCAGCTGCTGGAAGTGTGTTTAATATTGAAAATTCAACATTAATAGATACTGATTCAAAATACAAAGGACTAGCTGCGTATAAAGGAGGATTATCATACTTCAAAAATGTGATAGCACAATTAAGTAACATATCAATTGAATAAACTATCTCGTTCAACGGAGGAAGCTTTTATATTGAAGGGCAATCTTCTTTTAATTTTTCTGATGCTATAGTAAATAAAAGTGAATCAATAGGTAATGGAGGTTTTATTTATGCAAAAGATGATCTATTTATGATCACTCTTGATATTAGGAATACTTTATTTAATAATACAAGCAGTAGAGAATAAAACGGAGGAGCTGTATTTATTGATGAAATTTAATCAAACATTTATTTAAACAATTTGACTGCTTCTTATTCGGATTCAAAACATAATGGTGGTTTTATTTATATAGAAAAAGGAAATTCACTCTTCGTAGAGGACTGTAATTTTCAAAAAATTTATTCCATTAATAATGGGTCTATGATATTTTCTAGAAAATTAACTTAAGGAATAGGATTTAAATCAAATAAGATTGATTGTGATGGATCAGACTTAAATTATTATGATGATTCTATAATATCATAAAATATATTTAGCTACGGTGGACTTATTTACGCTCTTGATTCTAATAAACTTACATCTTATAACAATACTTTTAAAAATTGTTTGAATAGAAATAATGGTGGGATTTTTTATGTATAAAATACAATCTTTTCAGATCAAAACTCATTTTACGATAAAATATCTGCTATTATTGGAGGAATAATTTTGTGTTAAAATTGTGAAATCAGTATAAAATCATCTATATTTAATAATTTAAAAGCCTAAGATGGAGGATTTATATATGTTGTCAATGAGGCTAATATAACATTGGAAAATGTAACTACCTTTAACTCTTTGGCATTCAATAAAGGTGGATTGATTTATACGAGTAGCAGCAATGATGAATAGCCATGTAATATTTTAATACTTGGCAATAATACATTCAATTAAAGCGTTGCCAAGCAGGATGGTGGGTGTTTTTATTTCGCAAATCCACTGCTTTAATTTCAGAACTATGAGCCATTTATTATTTAAAATAATAATGCTATCAATGGCAGTGGAGGGATTTTTTATATAAAAGATTCTGCTTAAGTCATGCTTAAAAATACAAATTTTTCCAAATATGAATCATAAAATAATGGCTCATTTCTGTATTCCGAGAGTAAAACACTAAATCTAACAATTATAAATAATATTTTTACTTAAAAAAGTACTCAATGGCCTGATTAAAATAGTGATTTAACAGGATTATTGAATCCAGGAGCATTTTTCATTAAGAATACCATTTATGAAATCTAAAGCTATAAAAACATCTTTCAAAACAACTATGGCTGCTATTAAGGAGCTGCTCTAACCTTAATAAATTCCAGTTTAGTTGATAGCTAATCAGAATACCAATATAATAGTGCAATTTTAGGGGGAGCTATTTACTGTGAAAACTGTACTTTGAATATTTCATAATCCACATTTACAAAAAGTGAATCTCACAGTGGAGGAGTTATTTACATCAATAATCATTATGGTTAAATGATACTTCAAAATTTAATCTTTAGTAATACTCTAAGCAAAGATTATGGAGGAATACTATTTATAAAGGGCTCAATCACAGGGATTTAATAACTTTATAATCTAAGCATATCACAATCAGCGAGTAATAATAGTGGAGGAGTATTTTACATCGATAACAATGGTGAGGGGATGATTATGAATAATATTTCGATATAGGATTCATTTTCAAAAGATAACGGAGGAATATTTTATATTCTGAACTAATCTTAACTTAACATTACTTAATCTTAATTTCATAATTTCAACTCTTCTAAAAAAGGAAGCTTTATGTACTCATAAAGTACTAAACTAGAGCTGTTCCTTTAAATAATTCATTCTAATGCCACTCTTAATAATACGACTTCAAAAAAAATTTATAAGGAAAAATTGATTTGCCCTTACCCTTATCTGATATTGCTGGAGTATTCTATATAATTAACGCAATAATTATTCTATCTGAATCATAAATAATAAAACATTGCTACTTGTGTTAAACTGGCGCAGCTTATTCGATGATACGAACATAATTTAATGACCAGAATTCTCAATATAGCTATAATTCAGCTTTATTTGGAGGAGTATTTTATTTAGACAACACAATATCTAACTTATCAAACATCAGTATTCATGATACATTTGCTGTATAGGGAGGTGTTTTATATATTCAAGATCTTTCTCCAACTAATTTTTCTAATTCAAAAATTGAAAATTCTGTTTCTACATAGTATGGTGGAGTTTTTTCTATTAACTAACCTAAAAATCCCATAGGATCAAGTTCTTTTAATCTAACATATGTTAATATTTCAAATACTTTCGCTGGTATTTCTGGAGGCAGCTTTTACATTGATTCTACTTAACTTAAATATTTGAATCTCTATCAAAGTTAGTTTTTAAACTCAAGTGCAGTTGAGTATGGAGGAGTTTTATGTGTTTTAAAAATGGATGGCCTCCTCTAAATTTCATCAGATAATTAGACTCTCCAGAAGTCATTATTTCAACAATTTAAAGCTAATTTACTTGGCTCATTACTCTACTCTTCATACTCTGGATTTTATATGACTATTAACAATACTATTATTGAATCATCTAGTACTTTTGATTTAAATCATGTCAAGCAAAAGTTAGATAACTTGCAATATGATTATGCTGGAGCAGTGTATGTAGCGAACTCTATATTAGGAGTATCTTCCTATAATAATGAATACAGATATTGCTATTTCCTTAATTAAGGGGCAGTATTTACTTTTAAGGAGACCAAATTTAATGACATAAACTCTAGTTATCACTAAAATGCAGCAATTGGTGGAGGAGTTATACTGTGTGAAAGTTGTTAAATGAATATATAAAATTCTGATTTTCAGCGAAACTATGCCTTTAGTGGAGGAGTTTTTGTAATTGATAATTAAGCAAGAGTTAATATCACTCAGTCTATTTTTACAAATAATACTGCAGTTAAAGATGGAGGAGTCTTTATGGTTATAAAGTCAAAAATAGGAGCACTTGACAGTTCATGGATTGTTATATCTGATATTCAATAAACGCAGTTCAATAAAGCAGACTTAGGAGGATTTTTAAGTTCAGATAATTCTTACATGCAAATAAATCTAACTAGAATAACTTTTGCCCATGAATTAGCAACATCAAAAGGAGGTATTATTCATATTGCTGATGCACTAAGCTTTACAATTCAGCAATCAAATCTAAGTAATTTTGAGTCTCCTGAGGGAGCTGCAATTTTTTCTCAATCGCCAAATGTCTAAATCAATCTTTATAATAACTTAATGATGTGCAACCCAGACTATTTGCCTATTCTTATATAAGAATATTTAAACTTGACTGATCCTTTGTACTAATTATAATCAAATATTCTCATTAAAAACGCTAAGCTGATAGATTCAAGATAAAATTTATTCAAACACTGTTTCATCACTAACTTTGGAGGTGTATTCACACTCTTAAATACAAATTTTTAAGACTCAAAATCTAAATACTATCTAAATGCAGGAGCTTAAGGTGGAGTTTTTTATCTTTAATAAGCGAATGCATCTATACAATTCGCAGAATTTGATAGAAACATTGGAAATATAGGTGGAGTTATTTAAATGAATCAGAATTCCTATTTAAGCGTGAGTTCCTCTTACTTTACGAATAATTAAGCTTACTATTCAGCAGGAGTCATTTATGTCACGACTGAATCTCATTTTGATATTAATGGGACTATATTTAACAAGAATCAAGCAAGTGAAGTTTCAACAATTAATGTTTTAAAGAGTAGTCTATCAATGAATAACACCTTAATAAAATGTGAATTCACATAAAATAAAGCTATAAAAAATACTCTAACTTTGATGTACTCTAAAACTCAAATAATTGGGAGCATTTTTAAGGACAATGAAGCAACTTAACGATCAAAGAATTTATTTATAGGTTTTTCTGAAATCTATGTAATTAACACTAAGTTTATTCAGACTTACTCAGATGAATTAAAATCTAAAATTTATTCAGGATAAGAAAAGATAATAGGTACTTTTATATTCGTACTAACCGATGTGGATATTGAAATAACTAATAGTGAATTTACAAATGGGTTTGCTATTATTGGAGGAGCAATATATCTCTCAGGATTTAGTAATCTTAAAATAATAAAAAGTATATTCAATAATAATCAAGCAAAAGCAAATGGCGGAGCAATCTACGCTGTAGGTTTTTCTAGTATTTATATTGGAAATGAAACAAATTTCTAGTAAAATATTGCAATAGATGGAGGAGATGATATCTTTGTAGCAAATACTGATAAAAATCTGACCTTATTTAAAGTTAATATAGTAAATCCTAAGGCTAAAAACTCTATCAATGCAGAGTAATGTGGTGTCAATATTTTAAATAGCACAATCTCAAATATATATAATTCAAAGAGTACTCATGGAGCTGGTTTATAATGTTTTAATTGTCGAAATATTTATATTGCACACTCCTCATTTCATAAACTACAAAGCTAACTTGGAGGAGCATTGTATATAGAAGAAAGTGAAGTTAATAAGAAGGCTGAAGACAATTATGGGAAATATGTTATAGAAAATTCAATATTTTAATCTTGCTAAGCTTCAACGACCGGAGGTGCATTATTTTTAAGAAACATCTAATATTTGACAATATTGAATTCAAATTTTAAGGAAAATGCAGCATTATTTGATTCTTCTTACTCTAAATAAGAAATATCTGGATCAGGTGGAGCAATCTATTATACTTGTGATGAAACTTATCTTTACTGTAATTTGAAGTTTGCAGGGATCAATGTATTTAATAATAACAGAGCTGGTATTAAAGGAGGAGCTATTTACTGGGATTCATTAGAGCCAAAGTTTTTCAAAAATTAAATGATCTTTTCTGGAAATAAAGCTCAATATTATGGCGATAATATAGCTTGTTATTCGCAATAATTGGTTATGATAAACTAAACACTTTATATTCAATTATAAATTGACCTTGGAGTAATTAAAAAAGACGAAATGAATTTGCTAAGATAACTTAACTCGATAGGAAATTAGAATCAAGATGGAGAAGTAGATCAGTTAAACGGGAAAATAAAGAATTAAAGAAGTGGAGGAGAAATTCCATAAATTTATCTGGCACATATTGATAAATATGGATAAATACAATCATCTGATTTTTCAAGCAAAGTTAAAGCCTACGTGAATGCTGAAACAACTTCAAATAGTAAATCTCAATTATTTCCTCCTATTATTAAAGGTACTACAACCTTTGAAACTATTGCTGGCATGGTAATTGTCTAGGGCTTAAGTTTTTCGGCTTCTCCTGGCAATAAATACACAATCTCTTTTAATTCTGATGGAATAGACTTGAGAAAGTCATCGAATTAAGAATTTATGAAGCTGCTTGGGGATTCTAAGATTAATCTAGATTCTAACATTATACTTGAGCTGAGAGATTGTAATATTGGGGAATAATTTACTGAAGAGGGATAATGTATCAAATGTCCAGATTAGCAAAGCTTCTCTCTTGTAAAAATGACATCTCCTGGAGAATGCGAATCATGTCCTTCAGATAAAGCTTTATGCTATGGAGGCTCTAATGTGGGACCTCGACCTGGTTTTTGGAGAACTACTAATTCGTCATCACTTTTTATATAGTGCCTCTATGAACCTTCTTGCCTTGGAATGGTCGAACCAGAAAATAATCCTATCGGTTCTTGCTAAATTGGATATTAAGGAGTCTTATGCGCTGATTGTGCTGCCGAATTCTCAAGAACTGGAGACTTTGAATGCTCAAAGTGCCCTTAAAGAACGATTAATATAGTCAGACTAACTTTTATTGTACTAGCATTTATAGTTGGAGTAGTAATAATTGTAAGATCTACCCTTTAAGGCGCTTAATAGTTGAGAAATTTAACTGGGATCTATTAAAAGATATTACTTAATCATATTCAATTGATATTACTAACTGCATCTTTTAGTTTGGATTGGCCTAATTAACTTTTATCATTTTTTGAATCTTCTAAGCCTGTTGCCTAAGTTACAACATAAATATTTAGCTTTGATTGTTTTTTAAATATGAAAAAAAGTAAAACAACTGGATTTTCAAATGAACCTCCGTTTTATGGGGTTAGAATAATATTTATTAAGCTTATATTTCTTGCTTTTGTTCCATTAATACTATTATTGATATCAATCAGCTTTTGGTAGATTTATTAGAAAATTAAAAAAAATAGCATTAAGATAAATTAAAAAACAGTTTCTACGATGGTTATAATATTGTTTTTAATTCATCCAAACATAGTTTAAACAATGTTTTATGATTTTAAGTGCTATGAAATTGAATATGAAATGAGATTGCTTAATGACCTTGAAGTAATTTGTTGGAGTCCTTAGCACAGCTTTTTTAGTTTTTTCTTTGCACTGCCTTCTATCATAATATGGGGTATTGGGATACCAGCATTCGCTTACTTTTTAATGAGAAAAGTAAGAAATTAGTTGAGTAAATTAGAATCAAAAGAAATGTATGGTTTTTTATATAGAGGATTTAAGAAAGAGTTCTATTACTGGGAAATTGTTATTATGTACAGGAAAATGATTCTTATATTAGTATCAGTGTTTGTTCGAAGCTTTGGTGTCCTTGCTCAAGCGCTGTTTGTATTTTTTCTCCTTATTTGTTTCTTGATAATTACAATGAGAAATAAACCATACTCTACTCTTGAACTAAATAATCTCGAGATAGTATCCATTGTTACCTCTATGATATCCATTTATTGTGGAATGTTTTTTATAACTGATCTTCCAGAAAAATGGGTTAAAGAAAACCCTGATTTTTCCAAAGGAGCCGTCATACTAGATCCTAATACTAAATTAGCATTTTTCATTATTATTGTTTCATCTAATGGTTTCTTCTTTTGTTATTGGATAATAAAAATGATTGATGAAATAATTCAAAAGATAAGGAATTCTTTTCCAAAAATATACTTATTTATGTGTGCCTGTGGAGATGTAAATAAACTTGATAGGCAACGACAGTTATTTGATGTTTAATAATAAAATCAGATTATTTAAGAAAAATATTTTATTGCACTTGCTAGAGCTAAAAAATAAATAAAATAAGCTAAAATTGAATTAAATTAGGAGAACTATGAGAAAGTTTTAAAAGAAATAGACCCTGAGATGATTTCTAAAATAGTCTAGGATGTGAATTTCTAAGAATATGATGAACTAACTTATAATAAGAGATAGTATAGAATTATTCAAAATTGGCTTAACAGAGTTAATCTGAATTTGAATGATAAGCCTTTGTATTAGTAAGAGAATTTTCAAGAATAATAGAATTCATCTATAAGCTAATATTAAGGGACTATTGATGATCAATTTTCAAATGAATTTGATTTGTAATCTAAAATCAGGAACCTAACACCTTAAACAGACACCCCGGGACTTGACTAATTAATAAATCAAGATTAAATATAGTATGATTCTAATGAGATCTCGATATCAGATCAAGTATTCTAAAATTCAAGCTACATCAATGATAAAATATTGGCCCAAGATATATAATAATTAAAAATTAAAATAAATGGAAAGCTACACTAGCATTAAAATTTACACTTGAAAATCCAAAGATAGCAGAGAAATGAAAATACCTTTGAATTTAGAAGAAGGGAAATGAAATAAATGCATTCAATACCATCTTTCAGTGAACTAGATGCTTATGAAATAAATTCTATGGATAGTTCTAAAATAGTGACCGAGCATAACATTACTTAAAACTCATAATTAGCAGAATAATTGTTCGAGTAAACTGATCCAAGAGGTAAAGTATAGAATGAATTTGAAATTAATGAATAATTAAATCTTTAACAGAGACCAGTTAAGAAATCAAAACAAATAGATGATAAGTCTCAGAGAATTAAAAGATTTAAATAGCATAAATTAATCAAAGAAAGCTATATAACCATCTAAAGTTTTGAAAAAGATTGAAACTTGGACGTATTTATATAATTATAATTTAAATTTTTATTTTAATTTCATAACTACTACTTAAAAAAAAATTGTTTATTATGGGGTTTTGGGGTTTTGGGG